CCTGGAGTAATCGACACATGGGGGCACTGGGAGACATGGGGCCACATGGGGCCATCTATACTGCAGAATCAAACTAAGTAGTTTTTTGATGATTTTACAGCATTTTCTCTTATGCCACTCCTTGTGATTTACATCATGTGATGTCACCCATACATATTTAATTATGCAAATTAGCAAGGCCGGTATGTTTTTCCAAGAAAGGTGGCAACCCTAACTACTTTTCACATACTTTTACTTAAGTATGGAAACTTAAGAGGGATGTATGGGAACAAAACTTCACACAAGGACTGGCTGACAATGAATATAGTTAAAGGGACACTAGAGTCACCAGAACAACTACAGCTTATTGAATTTGTTCTGGTGAGTAGAATCATTACTGTCAGGCTTTTTGCTGTAAACACTGTCTTTTCAGAGAAAATGCAGTCTTTACATTACAGCCTAGTGATAACTTCACTGGCCACTCCTCAGATGGCTGTTAGAGATCCTTCCTGGGTCATGGCTGCCTAAAATGCATCCAAACATTCAGTGTCTCCTCCCTCTGCATGCAGACACTGAACTTTCCTCATAGAGATTCATTGATTCAATTCATCTCTATGAGGAGATGCTGATTGGCCAGGGCTGTGTTTGAATCATGCTGGCTCTGCCCCTGATCTGCCTCTTTGTCAGTCTCAGCCAATTCTATGGGGAAGCACTGTGATTGGATTAGGCCACCACTTCTAATGATGTCAGCAGACTGCTTGTTTTTCTGAGTCTAACAGCATGCAGAGTTACAGCTTCAGGCTTGAATACAGTAAGATTTTGCTATATTTATGGAGGCATGAGGGGCCCAGGGGGCTAGATGGTGGTGTTAACACTATAGGGTCATGAATTCATGTTTGTGTTCCTGACCCTATAGTGATCCTTTAAGGTAATGCTGTCTTTGATCTCTCTAACACTGTGGCATGTTCCCTTTCTTCTACACTCACTACATACAGCTTTTCTCTGTCCCAGACTGTATACCAGGAGCTTCTGCCTGCTGGTAAGAAGGTAAGGAGACAAGTGACCAGCGAGTGCTAGGGGACAGTCCTTAGAAAGCATTGAGCGAGCGCATCATTAGATGCATTTATGCCAAGCTCAGGGTGCTGTCTGCGTAGTATGCCCTTAGTTGGCCAGCTGCATGATTGGCAGGCAGCCTGACATGCATTCATACCAGGCTGGTCTTCTAATTCTTTGGGCAGACATATCCTCTTTTTGGGCATGTTCGCCCCTTTTGGCAGGTTACGTGATTTGTGTCAGTGGCACACCCTTTTACCATGCCCATTGACTTCCAGCTTGACTGGACACTGCTGTTAGAGGTTATGGATTTACTTGAAAGATGAAAACATAAATTAGTGAGTGATTAGCCTAGGGTATGTATTTTCTTATAGCTGCTGTTTTCTTTCTCTCCAGCACCATCTCCATCAAATACATGACGCTTGGGAGTGTTTTACTGTTTTTGGTCGATATGATTCTGTAATTAGGCCCGTCATAATTGTCAGCACCAGGCCCACTGGGCTCTTAATCTGGCCCTGAGTGCATGGTAGGAGAAATGTTCTGTATGTTAAGTCCCCCATGTAGTCCCCTACTGTACAACCCCTGTGAAGTCAGTAAGGAAACCCCTTGCATGGGGAACCACATAAATACTGGAGCTGTGAATAAAATTGCCAGTTGACTCCCAGAACCGTGTTTCGTCCGGTTACTGGGGGGATTTGGGATATGGCCTTCATTTTCAGCGCTTTCCTTGGATTACCTTCTTTTACCAGCAGAGATATTGGGATTTAAGATTGCAGCTCCGCTACAATTGGTGGCAATCTTACAGCCGAAAAGCGTGGTTCGTGCAGTTGAAACTGCCGAACAGGAAAAGTGAATGGGCAATTCGTGTGCAACAAAGAAACGAATGCAGAGGTGAATGGAGACAGATTAGACTGCATTGAAATGGCAAACGCTGAAAGAGCTATTGGAAGCCAGGGGTAAGATAGCCAGCAATAAGTCAAAAGCTGTACTTATTGCCGAACTGATGGAGGGAGACAGAGCCCGCAGTGCTACTCCTACACCCGACATGGAAGAGACCCCATTCCAGAAAGAGATGAGAACCAGACTGGAATTCCTAACCCAGCCAGTACCTCTGGAAATGCTGACGGTACTGATGGCAGATGTGCAGGAGTATGTGATGGCACACAGACCGCAGGATTCACCCTCCAAGGCAGAATCTTTTGCTTATTCCATCACCAACCAGGTAAAGCCAAAGATACCGCACCATGCTTTTAAAATATTTTGTGAAGAGAAAGATGAGATTCATGGGTACCTACAGGATTTTGAAAGACTGTGTGACCTGCTGATCTGGAGCAGACAGTGTAAATTATCTGGTAGGGCAGAAGAAGCATACCGAGCCGTGCTCAGAGAGGACAGTAAAAATTATGCCAAAGTGAAACAGGCTATATTGGAGAGATATGCCATTACCCCGGAGGCATATTCCCTTGCTGTAATCACTGAGCTCTTGTAAGAGCTTGTTCCTGTCTTGCTCTCTGAAGGAGTCTACGGTGGTTATGGTGTTGACTGGAGTGCTTGGAGCCCTCAGGAAGCGCTAAGAGCATCCTTCAACGGAGGTACCCAGTCGGGGTGCCAGGTGATCTGTTTCAGTAACCTCAATCGAGGGTATCCTCGACCCACCACACAGCCACCTACAGCTACTACCACCACACCCACAACAGCACCATTCCGGCCAGCAACTGGGGGGCAAACCCCACTGTCCCGATACAATGGCCGATCTAACATTCAGTGCCATACCTGCAAGCAATGGGGCCACATGGCGAGAGAATGCATGCAGAACTGGATCCATCAAGCATGGTGCCAAGTACGACCGGACCCAGCAGCACGAGCAGCCGCGCACCACTACCAAGCAGAGCCAGCACCCCAGGAGCTAATGTTTAATCACACCGAAGAACCCCTGGGAATACTGCATGACGTGATGTCGGTACAAGCCACAGACAATAGGCACCCTCATTGCCAGATGGTAACCTTGGAGGGGAAAGAAGTACAAGGACTCCGAGACTCGGGGGCCACTCTGACCCTAGTGGCACCTCATCTAGTTCCAGGCTCAGCACATACCGGCGGATCCGTGGCAGTGGGGGCGATGTACATATTGTCAACAGCAAAAGTACACTTGAATTGGGGTGTGGGGGAAGGGATGGTAGAGGTGGGCTTGAGGCAAAAACTGCCGGCAGATGTGGTATTGGGGAACGACCTAGGCAGAATGACGTCAGATTTTGTACCTCAGGCCCCTCTCCAAGAGGCGCATCCGGTAACCACAAGGCAACAGGCTCGCACCACGGCTGCATCCAGACACTCTGAGGCTCAGGTAAAAGACAATGTAACGCCTATGACTTGTGTTCCCTGGGATACCCCGACTGAATTTGAGACAGAGGTTAAGCTAGACCCTACGTTGAAGGTATATCGGGATAGGGTGACAGCTGATCAGACAGGTTTAGAGGGGGAGCGGTACGCCTGGGAAAAGGGGTTATTGTATCGTATTGCTGAAAGGGTAGTGAGGGGGATCGGTAAATGTTACTACTAGACAGCTGGTAGTCCCTCAGAAATAGTGACAAGAACGCCTCAAGATTGCTCATGACATCTCGTTGTCTGGGCATCTGGGTATGACCCGAACCAGGTACCGACTGACCCATGCATTCTTCTGGCCAGGTATATTTAAAGATGTCAGACAATACTGCCAGACGTGTGACATTTGTCAGAGAGTAGGCAAAAGGGGTTACCGACACAAGGCCAAATTATGCCCCCTTCCCATTATAGAAGAGCCGTTTAGTAGAGTGGCCGTAGACATAATAGGAACCTTACCAAAACCTAGTCCTTCCGGCAAGAAATACATCTTGACCGTGGTAGATTACGCCACCCGGTACCCCGAGACAGTGGCTGAAGCCTTAATGAAAATCTTTTCCTGGGTAGGATTTCCCCAGGAGATAATCTCCGATAGGGGTACGCAGTTCACAGCCGAAGTGACCCAGCAACTCTGGAAACTATGTGGCATTAAGCCTATTGTGAATTCTGCGTACCACCCTCAGTCCAATGGGTTATGTGAAAGGTTCAATGGAACTTTAAAGCAGATGCTCCGTACGTTTGGAGAGGCCCATGAAGACTGGGAGAGACTTCTACCTCATCTGCTTTTTGCGTACCGAGAAGTACATCAAGAATCCACCGGATTCTCTACCTTTGAATTGCTGTTTGGGAGGAGAGTGAGGGGACCCTTAGATTTAGTTAGAGAACATTTGGAAGGAGATAGCAGTACAGATGGGATACCCGTTGTACTGTATGTGCTGGAATTCAGGGACTGCTTGGAGGCACTAACCCAGACAGCAAGGGTAAACCTCCAAGTGGCCCAACAACGCCAGCGCCGATGGTATGATAGGGGAGCCAGGGACCGCAGCTTTCAGGTGGGACAGAAAGTTTTGATTTTAAAACCTGTCCGCAATGACAAGCTGCAAGCCACCTGGCAGGGTCCATACCAAGTGGTAGAACAGAGACGTGATACCACTTATGTGATTGGCCATGCGTAGGGAAGAGACGCATGCTCCACATGAATATGCTCAAACCTTACTATGAGAGGGTAGAGGACGTGGCAGCTATATGCGCGTCGGCCTCGGAGGATCAGGAGAATCTTCCGCTACCCGATTTATTAGAGTGAGAAGATCAGGCAGAGAACTCCCCGGGGGTTAAGCTGGGGGAGCGGCCAAGTCCTCAGGAGCGTGCCCAGGTACAGGAGTTAATTGCGGCTAAGGGAGCCACCTTCTCCAATTTACCAGGGTACACTCCGCTGGCCACTCACCGTGTAGAGACCCCAGGACAGCTACTGTAGCGGAATAGTAGCATTATCCACAGTATCTCCGTTGGTAGACAGAATGAAGCAGGTACAAAGTAGGCAAAATCCAGGTAACGTAGTTACAATCCCTTTCTCCCAAGAACTAGACGACACATAGCTTGGAGGTCAACTGAGGTTTTAATCACAGGTCACAGTATTTATGCGGTTACAAATGTAAGGGGTTTCCCACGTCACATTACAGGGTTTGTCCAGTAGGGGACTACATGGGGGACTGAGCTTACAGTCTGATTACCCAGCATACACTGCTGTACCAGAGAAATAATTACGTTATTAACAGGCACAGGAAAAAGTAACATTTTACATTAAATTCGCTAACTTTGGCAATTCCCCACATATTTTACCGAATGACCCCTCATTATATTGCAGGAATCGTTCGGTACAATCTATCGAAGTACCGCTCTGATCCCTGCAGAAACAACAGAACGCGGCTGGCAATAAACATTTACCCGAACAGGGCTTTAGCAGAGAAAACTCACGATTGGTTTTATTTTCCCGAAGGAGAGAGTTTCCCGACCGCTATGGAAGTCCAGCGGTGTTTGGAAATCAAGTAGCCGATTTCGGTTCCAGGCACTTGACGACCAAACACCGCTGAACTCTAACAAAGCAAAGAAGGCCGCCGCCACGTGTTCGGTACACGAACGGTGGCCACAAACAGAACACTCATTAACAGATGGATACAGTGTTTCGGTTTTACTAACGAGCGGCACACAACCTTCTGGGGTGGTCTCCCATTCAATCTTTTGGTTCGTTTCACGAACAGGGTTGGAATCCACTGTTCGTGAAACTTGCAACAGCGTGTTAGCGGTATTCGTGTGCTGTAACACACGAATGCATATGAACATTAGGTGAAAATTTTTGTATACGGATAAATTTAACAGGGGTTAAGTGGCTCACAAATAGAGACACAATGGAAACAAACATCAGGCATATATATATACATAATGCTCTGTAAGTGGCTAGGTTTGCCACAATGCTCCCCCAGAATCAAGCCAGCTAACACAGTCTGATCCCAACGGATCGGCTTGGGGATGTCCGGAGGAGTACCCACAGATCACTTTTCAAGTTCAGTTTGTTTGGATAACCCGTCAGCATTGCCATTTAGCTTTCCCGGGCGGTAGTGGATGGTAAAGTCAAAAGGCTGCAGCACCAAACTCCAGCGCAGCAGCCTGGCATTGTCTCCTGATACCCGGTTCAGCCACACTAACGGATTGTGATCTGTGAGTAGCGGGAATGGTTGTCCGTACAAATATGGTTGCAGCTTCTTGAGGACTCACACCACGGCCAGGCATTCCTTTTCGATGGCGGTGTAGCTTACTTCCCGGGCAAAAGTTTTCTGCTTAACTAAGCTACGGGATGCTCGCCACGACTTGGCTCAGTACTACTCCCAAGCCAAACATAGAAGTGTCTGTCTGGACGAGAACGCGTTTAGTTAGATCAGGAGCAGCAGGTACAGGTGCGTTAACAAGAGCAGTTTTTAGCTGTTGGAATGCCCGTTCACACTCTGGGGCCCATACTACTAACTTAGGGAGGTGTGGGATTTCGCCAGGGTGCTGTAATCGGGCACAAATTTTCGATAGTACCCTGCGGTACCTAAGAACGCTAGGACCTGGGTTTTGGTACGGGGTGTTGGCCTCTATTTTGACAGGTTCTGGCTTTTGCTGGCCGCTTCCTACCCGGTGTCCTAAATACTGAACTTCGGCCATCCCTGTATGGCACTTACTGGGTTTAAGGGTTAGCCCTGCCTCTCTAATGCGATCTAGTACGGCTCCTACATGGCTCAGGTGGGTGGCTAATGGGGTATACCCCGGGAGATTGGAAAAGGTGGCCCCTTTTTCCCTAATTAAACTTTGGGCCTGGGTTCTCTCCTGAGAATTCAAGTGCTACCCTAGCTGTACGGCTTCCAGATCCTCATTTTGGCATTCTCTCGCCAGGAGGTCTGGTAGTGGCAGGTTATCAACATCCTCAGCGGCAGAGGCACAGATCGCGGTCACCTCCTCTGTGCGCTCGTGGTAGGGCTTCAGCATGTTCACATGGAGCATGCGTCTGCCTCCTGCGCCAGCGCACGGGCCAATTATATAGGTGGTATCGCAGATTTGCTCTACCACCTTGAATGGGCCCTGCCAGGAGGCCTGCATCTTGTCACTAGGGACGGGTCGTAGGATTAACACCTTCTGCCCGACCTGAAAGCTGCGGTCCCTGGCCCCCCTATCATACCATCTGCGCTGTCGTTGTTGGGCCACCTGGAGGTTGTTACGTACCGTCTGGGTTAAAGCCTCCAAGCGTTCCCGGACTCCAGTACATATGGTACAATAGGGGTACCATTAGTGGTAAACCCCCCTCCCAGCGCTCTCTGATTAAATCTAGGGGTCCCCTCACTCTCCTCCCAAACAATAATTCTTTTTTTTGGTTAATCAGTTTCCCAAACAATAATTCAAAGGGCGAGAACCCAGTGGATTCTTGTGGAACTTCCCTAAAGGGAAACAGCAAGTGGAGTAAAAATCTCTCCCAGTCTTTCTGCGTGTCTATGAACGTCCGGATCATCTGTTTAAGTGTTCCGTTGAACCGTTCACAGAGACCGTTGGACTGGGAGTGGTAGGGTGAGTTAAGGATAGATTTTACCCCACATACTTTCCAGAGCTGGTGGGTGACTTCTGCAGTGAATTGGGTACCCCTATCTGAAATAATCTCCTGTGGAAATCCCATGCAGGAGAATATTCGCATAAGGGCATCCGCTCGGCATGTACATTCGTTAGGGCCACCGCTTTGGGGTATCTGGTGGCGTAGTCCACTACGGTCAAGATGTACTTCTTGCCGGAGGGACTAGGCTTTTTCAGAGGTCCGATTATGTCTACCGCTACTCTACTAAAAGGTTCTTCTATTATGGGTAAGGAATGGAGTTTGGCTTTATAGCGGTCTCCCCTTTTCCCTACCCTCTGGCAGGTATCGCAGGTATTACAGTATTGCCTAATATCCTTGGAAATACCTGGCCAGAAGAAGTTCTGGGTCAGCCGATGTTTAGTTCGACTGATCCCCAGATGACCTGATAAGGGTTTGTCGTGCGCTATACGCAGCTACTCCTATCTGTACTTTCGAGGCACAATTAACTGCTTTATGGGGATGGGAATAGACCCGGCTACTACCTTCTCTGTGTGAAGAAAATTTACTTTTGCCTGACATTTTCTCCTTTTGATTCGGTATTTTTATATGTTATTACTTGCAAGGTGAATGGATTGGTTCGGTAGTTTGAAACTACCGAACACCAACCACCCTCCTGGCTCATTTAGTACAAAGGAACAAGCTATTAAGTGCTCCCTGGGCGGCCGCTGTTCGTACAACCGAACGCCACGTGGAAAAGAAAATGGCGGCCATCTTGTTCGCACGAGGAGAGCCAGCGGGACTTGGTCGTCGAGTGTCTGGAACTAAAATCCGGCACTCGACCTCGCGAACTACCGCTGGAAACTACCGAATGCCGGCTTCTCATATTTCCCGAACAGCCAGGGAAGCCCCATTCGGTAGTTCTGTGCGAACGGACAAGGGGAGCAATTGCTACTATGGGCCAGGGGAATCCATTCGGGACTTTTGTTCGTTTTTACAGTTTTGTGAATTGACCAACCGCACACGCTGAATTCGTGGAACTGTTTTGGGTAGGAGCCGCGTGTGTGGTCGGTAAAAGGGACCCTCCACACTTTTTCAGAACCCCTGAACCGATCTGGGTGAAATTTGGATATGTTTGTCCCCCAGATCGGGGCTATCAGGGGATATGTAATTTGTGGGGATACCTTGTGGGGAAAGGGGTGTTCTAAGTTTTGGGGAAATTGTGTGCTCTCTGCCTGGAGATAATTGGTTTATTCCTTAACTTATCTCAATATCTCCCAGGCAGAGAGGAGGCGTCTAATACTGTAAATCTGTGTGATGATTGGCTGTTGCTTTTGTTTGCTGTGGGAGGTCCTCTTGCAGGAGAATTTCTCATAAAAGCCCGTGTGTTTTCAATAAAGATGATTCCTGTTACACCCTTCATGAAGTCTAGGCTCATGTTTGGGGGATATTCTACATGCTGGGAAGAATCACCTTGGAACTGCATTTCATCTATTTTATTCCTCTACTCCCTGCTGCAGCTATAATCACTCATGCTCAGCTGTTGGGAGAGGGAACCAAGACCGCAGCACCATAACCACTGCAGGTCTTAACACTCTGCATACCGGTATAATAACCCTTTATCCCAAGCATATCTTTTTCCTTCTAAGCCTGCCTGTTGCTTGTCTATTCGATCTTTGTAAACCTGCAGGGAAGGATCCAGAGCAACCTCGCTACCAAATTCTAGGGGGGTATCCCAGGGAAGGGCAGTGTGGTTATGGGTTTCATCGCTTACCTGAGCCTCAGAGTCACTGGATTGTGCCGTGGTGCGAGCCTGCTGCCTGGTGACGACTGGGTTTGCCTCCTGTTCGGTGGTTCAAGGAACAAAAGCGGAGGTGAGCTCCCCCAAGTCATTTCCCAAAATAACATCCGCTGACAAGTCTTGCATCATCCCCAGCTCCACGTTCCCTGAACCCGCTCCCCAATTCAAATGTATCTTGGCAGTGGGAACCTTGTAGATTGCTCCCCCTGCCACCCGTACTGCTATACAATCCCCCGTAAGCTGGTCTTTTGGGACAAGGTAATTTTGGACCAAGGTGATGGTGGCCCCGGAATCTCTCAATCCTTCCATACGTTTCCCTTCTACGTGGACAACTTATCGATGGCTTTGGTGGTTGTCGGACGCCACTTGGACGGGGTTAACTTCATGGAGAGTGCCTAGAGGTTCCTCCACCTGGGTGGCTGTGGAGGGCTGACTAAATGCTCCATTCTGGTAGCAATGTACTGTAGCCCTAGGGCCAGGAGGTTGGCCTTGGTTGGGCCATGCTGGTCGTGCCCTGTTTCGGGGGCATTCTCTTTGTACATGCCCTAGTTGGTTGCAGGTGTGGCATCTGATGTGTGCCCGGGTGGGGTACCTAGGTTGATATTGGTTGTTGGCTCCCCCGGATCGTGGGTGAGCTGCTTCGGCCAAGGCAGGCCTGTGGGTGATTGACTGGGGAAATACCTTAGGCGGTGGGCGCTGCTCTGGCCTGGTGTCTTGATGTTCATCCGCTAATTTAGCTGCGTCTTGTAAGGTACATGGTTTACGGTCCCTTACCCAATTCTGCATCTCTGTAGATAATCTCCGGTAGAATTGTTCCAACAGCAGTAGTTGCATGATCTCGTTCCGTGTAGTTGCTTGTGCCGCCTCAATCCACCTAGTGGCTGCTCATTGTAAGCGGTCTCGGAATTGGAGTTGGTATGCCTCAGGGGTAATGGCATACCGGACTAGGATGGCTTGTTTTACCTTCTGG